GCTATACACGTCTTGCAACTTTTCTTGCAACTTTTGCTAATTTTTCTTGCAACTTTTGCTATTTTCAAATGCAACTTTCTCTGAGGACAGTCTAGTTGTGTACTGATTTGTAGGCCTAAAATAGCGGTGATCAAATTAATTGGACTGATGCCTGTGGTGTAGGGGTTAGGCGCTTCATGGTTGCACGCAGAGGACTTGAGTTCATCTCCTGTGCTGGATGAATTGTTATAAAATATCAGACTCTCTGTCCACTGGGACGTTTTAACTTTAACCCTCTCAGTCTCAGCCTGGGTGGCCCTGACAGGCAGAGTTGAAGCAGTTCACGTTCCAAATGATCTAAATTATGTCGATCTGGGCGTAAAACATTTTCAGGTACTAGTGCAATTATTATTTTTAGACTGGCTGGTCCAACGTATTACATATCAGTAAAAATCTGACATAACAACAGGGATTATGGGACCAGAGAAAAAACCCTGTTATAACAGATTCCCGTTTAATCAGAATCTCAGAAATATGCAAGGGGCGTGAACAAATCCAGCATTTTTATTCATGGGCTCGAAGTTATCCACAGACCGGGACAGACTAATACTATGCCGTGCGCGCGGGGCTGGTTTCTGTTGGAAGGCTTTTTCATGTAACTCTTTGAGGACGTAGCGGATACATACGTCCGATAAGCAGAACAGCAAAGACAACACTTTGACACATTTCAAACCAGCGTACACCAGAAACAAGAGTTTTGCATATTCAATGGCATGCATGCTGTTGCACGCTTTTTAAAGTTTCAGATATATTGATACATGAAGAAAACAAAATCAAAACGTCTGCTTGTGTAAGTGTAATGAAGTTATGCCCCGAAACAGCATCTGTATGCGTTACATTAACTGACCAAAATATTCGTTCTCAAGGAGGTAAACTGACTCTTTGTTCAATCCTGGGTAACTAGCCAACCTACCCCCAGTCCCCTTCTCTTCATCATTTATCCCATTTGCGAAACAGACCCGTAATCAAGTCGGCATATTTTTTTTACAGGTACCGTAGTTGAAGGAGTCTCTGTATCCCTGTAATAACGGATAAGGCTCTGATGAGTCCCTGTTATTGCCAATAAAGTTTAATAGAGGTAAAGAAAAGGAAAAACAGGGATTTTCAAAAATCCTGTTGTTTCCGGATCCCTGTTATGATGTTACATGGATTATCGGTCCTGTTAAAAATGGTTTCCACTGTATTATGTAGCCT